CCAAGTTTGTTCAAACGAATGACCTCGACATATATTAAAGGTCACAGGGGTCAAATATGTTTAAAACCTTTAAACGATTTCTTCTCAATAAGCAAAAGGCTAAGGGTGATGATATTTGGCCATGCAGTAACATGCTGGGATTAAGGACTACCAGCTAGGTTTTTTCAAATGAATGACCTTCGCCCATATTCAAGGTCACAGTGGTTACTACATGTTTAAATATTTAAATGACTTGTTCTGTATTACTAAAAGGTCCAGGGTAATGATATTTTGCCAGAAGCATGCTTGGTTGGACGACTATAAACTTTGTTCAACCTCATGTCCTTGTTTGACATTTAAGGTCACAGGAGTCACATGTTTAAATCTTTTAATAATTAGGTTCTTATGAGTCAAACACTGATATTCTGCCTGTAGCTGTATTTTAGTCAACTTTTAAGATTATTTGTGAGATTAATACCAGGTGAGTGGTTCAGGCCCATTGGGCCTCTTTTTAAACGTCCTATTAACATCCAAGGTAATTTAAGGACGCCCAAACCTTCTGAAAAAGGTTCTATATTTGTTTTATGTAATAACTTAATTCAAACAAATACAGGGCATTGTGCCAAAAGGATTCGCATCTCTTTATTTTTCATTGAGTTCTCCTGGAGCCACTGAAGTGAAATTTGACATCCTGAAAGAATAAATTGATCTATTTTTTTTCATTTCATATTTTTCAGTGGAACGATTATCAAAATGTGGTGAGTTATTCTTGGAAATAAATTTTCAATGCCGTTATTTTGTAAGACAAAGAACAAAATGGCACAGTAAAATTGATTTCATCTGAATAACTTGTCATACCTCAAAAACCAGTCAACACAAATGAATAAAAATATTCTCAGATTATTGTATACAAACTTGTCTTTCAGTATATCAAATTTTGTTTTAATAGCAATTGTAATTAGCCGCAGAAAATTCCGATAAAAAATGGAGAAAATTTGAGGGAAAAAACGCTAATCATTTGGCATAATGTTGAAGCTACAAAAACAAAGCATGTTCATATATAATAGCATTCTCATACTAAGTTATATTCACAAACCATTTAATATAATTCAATAACCTGATTATTCATCAAGTATTTTCTCACTTGAATGGGAATTTGAGTTTGAATTGTTGAAGCTCATATGTCAATATTGGAACTCTTCATTGTTTTATTATGTTTTCATTGAAAAGTTGGGGATTTAGAACATTTTACATCAATGGATGGCAGAGAAAACCACAATTATATTATTTATTTATTTACTTCATATTTATTTAACGTTACTCCGGAAATAACTAACCATCCTCATTGTAACCATGACAGCAGATTGTGGCCGCAATTCATAGGCTACAAGAGCAGGAGTGAATTTTGAGAGATATTCAGTTTTCGTTAAAACTGTATAATTTAATTTGGATTATTCCCCAAATGCTAGACTCTTTTCAGGTTATATATTTTGTATAACCTAAAGAAATAGACAACACAAAAAGTGATGGTGTCTTAATTCACTGCAATGTTTGGAGCAGTGTATGTAATTCTAATATCTGATTGGTTGAAGTTGCCAGCGAATGAAATTAAACTGTGCAATGATGTGTTTTATGTAAAAAAAAAAAGTTTTTATCAGAAATTAACAAATATTCATCTGTTATAAACTAACAAATGTTGTCTATCTCTTTGAATTAAATTATTACGGGTAGCCATGATTATTTTTGGGGTTAAGGTAACGGCAGATATAAGTACAAAAAATGTCCTGTGTGCACTTTTGTGAAAGAGCATACAGTTTTTTCGGTATTTACCATGTAACCCCAAAAACCATCCTGGTTATCCTTATATATATATCATGTTGGTATTGTTTGATATCGTTTACTTTATCAAATTAAAGAATGAACTTAATACACGTATTGAAAACAAAACACAAATTACAAAAGACGCATCAACCTATGAAGATGGACACTGTACAATTTAATGTCAGTGGAATCAGAATGAAAAAATAAGCAACTGTACATTATGTATCCTTTACAAATACACTAGATTATAACCAGATAAGTTACAAGCTTCATATAACTCTCAGACATACATTATACTGTTAGTATCTAATATTTACAAGGGTATACTGGGGTAGAAATGACACATTTATAGTACTGGGCTGTAGGCAGATTTTGAACATTCTCTTACCCCCACCCATTACTTGGGCCTAGCCAGTATATATTGACTATATTGAAATATTTTCACTTTAACTTTGACATAAAATCTTCTAGTCCTGATGAGTGTCTGCTGTGAAATTTTACAAAACCAGATCTCTTACATGATATGTACAGCTATCATGTAATTGACAGAACCATGCAGACATCTGACGAATCCTCGACATCAGTCCGACAGATATATTTTAGGACTTCGGCCATATGATCAGTGGCCACTGTGGTCTGACTGATGATAAAACATACTTAATCTTCACTGTTTATAAATGTGAACATTGGGTAGGGTTTAATGACAAAGGGATATCTGATTATTCAATAGGGAAGTTGATCCTTGGATGTCCTTTAGGGTACAGAAGTGTCGGGCATTTCCCTATTGTACTCTGAGTTCACATATCATTTGCTGTACCAGGGGGGTATCATGCTCCGTCATTTGTTCTGTAATTGAATGCATGCGTTATCGATTATGGCCCTATTTCATTTATAATTCATCGTCATATGGAATTATTTTTTCTAATGGTAGCTAATTGTTGAACGTCTACACATATTTTTCTGCACCTCAGGCCAGAGCATTGTATTTCTGAGGCAGCTGCTTGCTGATATCTCTGATCGGGCGAGGGGAGATGTGGGAGTTGTTTTAGTGCAGTATTTAATTACGAGAGTAATAAACATGTTTGGTTGATTTAATTGCAACCTTTACCAAAACTAAAATCGACTTAATCACTTGGTTGTACCAAAAATAGAATAAACTAAATCACTTGGTTGGACTTAATTAAAACAAAATCAAATTAATCACTTGGTAATGGACCAAAACTAAAGTCGACTAAATTGCTTGGTTGGCCCAAAACTAAAGTCAACTGATTCATATAGTTGGACATGGTGGGACCAAAATTTAAATTGACTTTATCCCTTCGTTGGACTTAATTTAAACTTAAATCGACTGAATTACTTAGTTGGATCAAAACTAAAATCGACTTAATCACTTGGTTGGACCAAAACTAAAATTGACTGAATCACTTGGGTGAACTAAATTTGAACTAAAATCTACTAAATTACTTGGTTGGATGTGTCATTTAAGGAAAGGTAAAAAATGCAGAGAGTTTAAACTAGGCATTAAGGGCCACAAAATGTCCTTAATGTTCGGGTTAAAATGCAGAGAATTTGGAACCAATTATGTAAGACCAATAGAATGTCCTTAACTTCAGGTGTCTGAAGAGTCCGGGTTCAAAATGGAAAATCTCAAACTGGCCATTGGTGATCAGGCATTCATGAAGTCCTGAAATTATGATAAGGTGTTCGGTAAAGTTTGGTTTTGATGTTCCTGGCAGAATGAGATATTAGTCAATACAGTATAATTGTAATCTTGTCAATGTCATCTTTGGGACAATGATAACACCTCGTGTCAATGTTGTGACGCCAGAGCTGTCTGGACCCAGTCGTAGCCCTAAATTATTCAAATTGAAATACATGGCCATTAACTACAGCGAGACAAATAATCAATTTTAAGTTCAATAAGTAGTGCAGTGTATTTATCACATGTCAGCTGTGAAATGTGATGTTCACCGAGACACTAATTATTTTCTTGTCAAAAAATTAATTACTTTCAGGATGAATTTAAGGGTACCTGGTATGTACATATAAGTAACATTAAACAAAAATAGTTCCATTGCAATGAAACCAAAACTAAATTCAATATATATATAGCGGAAAGTAGGAAGTTCGTAAAACATGATATTAACCATAATGTAACATTAAACAACATGATATCATACCAAATTGTGTTATTAAGTAGCATGATATCAAGTGAATTCCACCCTATTTTAGATATCAAACTTGTCGATAACAAAACTGTATTTACTCCCAAAAAGGTCAAGTAAAAGTATCATTGTACTGTGAAACTTTGTTCATCCAAGTCTGATAATCGTTCCATCTCAAATATTTCAGTGCTTGTTATATAATTAGTTACCAATAAATGTTATTTCTTATTTCATAATTAGTTTGGAAAGATTTTTCATTCTGCCCTTTTTTAAGGGGATCAATATGTCCACAAAGTGTTTTACTATAAATTGCAATAATTTCCCACCACCAAAAAATTCATCCTAGAATTTGAAGTAATTCAACATGTGTTCATTTCAACAATATATATTCTTACCTATACTGCAAAGCTACCTACATACATGTATAAGTCAGATCCTTTTTTTATTTGTAGCTTAATTACTCGTTTGTTCAAAGGCAAAAATTTATAAAGTACCCTGATGATGAGAAACGTTTTACAAATACTCTGCCCTAATGTTGTCTTCAAACTCCAAGGATTCCATTCTTGATATAATCATGTTCACCCTTGGGCTATATTGCAGATGATACTAGTCAAAACATACTGTCAGCATATATATTTTAGTGGTAGTCTTATTTTAGCAGTTTTCGGGCTTTAGGTGTTGTGCTAGATTATGAATGCGCTTAATTGACGTTCCAATATCTTGTTTTCTATCACATATTATGTGGATGTGCTGATTCATCTATGAGCTGATGTGTTTCGTTGTTGCTCTAAATTTTGGGTGTGTTAAAATAAGTACATTTACAGTATTCTAAGGGTAAAGAAGGACATGTTTATCAAAAGCATAACCATTGGACTTTAAAGATGTCACGATGTATGCAATGGTACAGTTTTACCTATTTGTTTTAGTCAGTTTTCTCTTGGAAGACTTACTTGAAACATTTCATTAATTATCTCAAATAACCTTTGTTGATAAGTAAAACAATATTTCATTCTTTTTCTCTTTTTTTTTTTACAGGAAAACTTGGTGGCATGCATGAGAATTCTGGAAATGTGAAGTTAGCACCGTCCAAGTCCGATCCCAAGTCTATTTGTATATGTGTTCACACTGTTGCCAATGTATTACAAGTGCCCTCCTCGAATGAAAACCTGTTCATATTCGCCGCTCGCACATTAGCCACGGGTACTCTTACACTAATATCGGTCCGGACCAAGGACGAAACTGCCAAATTGACCGTTAATTGTGAGAAAATGGTCATCGGCACGATGCTGCACAAGGAAATTAAGAACCTGCTGAGCAAGAGCTAGCCTCAAATATTTCTGAACAACAAGTTTTTATAAAAACAAAAAATTTATAAACCAGTGCTTGATAAACAGAAATTCTTTTCTCAAAGTTCTATAATTATTTTGGTTCTATAATTATTTTGGACCTATCTTAAGTATTAATGTGAAATATGTTTACTGTTGTGGCTACTGTTTGTAAGTGAACAAATTGGAGGGGGTTGCAATGTAACATAAGTAGTCTTAGCTGAAAGGCCAGTTCTCACATCAGCTGTTCATGTTTAAGATGTATTCTTGAGGGGATGTTGAACAATTTTTGTTTTGTCAACATTTTATTTTATTAACATTTTACGTTGTCGATGAAAGCTAAACATGTATTGTATTTATCCTACGATAAAGCCCAAGGGGGCAAGCACCTAATTTCTGACTATATTGTGGTTTAAAACGGGTGTGGCGATATGTTGAAATATACAGGAAATATTGAAAAGAAAAGATGAAAAGGGGACATTAAAAACATGTTGGCAGTAAGCAAAATGAAATATTAAAGATGACTTTGGGGGCATGAAATTGACTTTTACTGATATGTTGCAAATTGAATTTTCAATATGCTGTAAAGTGAATATTTTATTGGTTGTTTTTTTCACACATTTGAGTGAGTATAACTTTGCAATGCAGCGATTCTCACTTTCTATGTTGTCATTATGTTCACAGCATTATAGGAAAATGATATATGTAGGTACCTTTTATCCTGATATGTCAAATTATTTTGGAAGAATTCTTAAAATTCAAGTGTTATAAGGTAACTATCTATTTAGTCCTGATGACAGATTGTTAGTGTTTATTAAAAGTGGCTGATTTAAACATAAACGCAAAAACAACTTGATACAATGCCACACATTTCATTTTTCACTCTACTGACTGCCAGCATTTTTCAAGGTTCTGATTTTCCTTCTTGATTCTCATTTTGCGTTTAATTTTTCTTCCATATATCACCAAACCTCTTTACAACATCACAATTGTGCTGGACAAATGGCGGCATTATAACAAGGTGACACTGTATGAGAGGTCGTCAACATCAGGTAGCATTGCAATGTCACATACGTATGAGTGACAGCCAATATGAAATTGAATGTAGTGTAACTGACATATGTACATTTAGATTAACGAGTTATGTGACGTATGTTGCCGCATCACTGCCTCCTTGCCTGTTATTCTATTTGTAACTGATACGTATGCTTTCTATACAAACATGCAGCTTTGTCAAGCCTACATTTGTGCATGAACGTTATTGTTTCGTAAATTTTCACAATTCATTTCTGGTTCGATCATTAGATAAAAACTTGTTGACTCCATGAATGTGTGTTGGGGAAAATTGCAATACAAATGCATTATGATAGTTTTAGGTGAAATAAGACTTTTCAAAATCATTTTGACCATGGAAGGGGTCATTTCCATTATCCAAACAGTAATTGAGGTTAAAATTTCCTATGCTTTTGTTAATGGAGATGAGTAAACATTTTGTGCTTTGTATTTGGAACACATATTTTTAACTGTACTTTAGGAATAAATTAACACAAACAGAGGGAAAGTAGCAATATTTTATCAGACATTTCACTGCAAATATGATTTAATGGTTCAGAGAATAAAAGGGAAAGTAAATTGTTTACAGAAAAAAAGGGAAATCATCTGTGGCACAAAACAGCTTGGTCATTTGAAAATCGAGAATACTGGGTTTATCTTCAGTAGAAAAATACTGTATAGTGTAATTATTATCAAACTTTTCATGTAAGCAACCATCCAATGATTTATTGAAGTTTATTTCCCTCTGCTTCATGTGGATTTCTTTTCATCAATCACCTAAATTTGCTATTTTAAACTTTATTTTCTCAAGAAGAAATGAATGGAAAATCACCAGAATTGCTAGAGCTGTGCACAAAAACTATAAGGATAAAGAAAGAGGTTGTAGTTCAAAGGTCAGGAGGTGATAAAAGTTAAATTTCAGGCTAAGCTGTTTGTCTATTGTCAAAGAGAAATATGGTATAAAATGAAACATGGTACCAATAGAAATATATTTTTGTTCAGTGAAAATAAACATCTTGTCGTATAGAGTTAAAGTGTTGTTCAAAACATGGGCATGCATTCTAGACCTGATAGCCGTCCCTGGACACTATCATGTTTTCTGGGATCAGTCAGGCGGAACCAGTGTCGTCAGGTAGGAGTGTCAAAGACTTCCTACGGTATCCGTCGGTGTATTGATCACATCAGCGGTTTTATGTGACAGACTGATGGATGTACTGGTGAAAACACAGGATATCTAAGGCTAACTATTTGTTTGACATCTCTGTTCGTCATCAAACGCCATCGCAAATATAATACAAAGACATGTCTACTTGGAGGTTCTTTTGAATTTAACAATGGCATTATTGTTTGTTCTGACACTATGTCAAAATTAGATAAATACAGTGGTGTTTGCTGAAATATAAGAACTATACAATTTGTTTTATTATACCTGGCCGATACCAACACATATTTCAATCTTTGTAATTCTATGAATTTACATTGTCCACACCTAGAAATGATAATGGTCACAAGAAGTCGCCTCCGTAATTGAAATAAAATCATGCTAACTGCTACATGTAGTTAATGTCAACATTACATTTATGATGTCACATCATAAATGCAAAAACAGAGTCTAAACCTACATTGAGGGTATGACAAAGAAATTTTGACTTAGGGCTGATATTATTTTACTGTCTAACACGAGGCTTGCTTAGAGTACTAGTCGAGAGCTTAGTAAACATTCAAGAATCTCCCCCAAAGGGTTGAGATTTTTCTGGCAGATCTTAATCATGGGGTATTATTCATTTCTCCTATTATGGCAATAATATGTTCACCAAAACAATTAATTATTGGCGTTGGTAATCTGCGTTCTTTCCTTGTATGCATATGTACCTCCTTTTGAAAGCTAATTGTTTCGTCATATTTCATATGACGACATCTGATTTTGATATTTGTCATACTCTATGGGATATGATAATGGAAATTGTACCCTCAACACGTCAACAGAGAAATCTTGGAAAATGAGAAAAGGAACAATTCTGTGAATGACCAGAGAATTAAGATTGAAATAGGACTTAAATGGTTTAAGCTTTTAAATCTAGGACAAGTGCAATGAAAATGTGAAGATATGTTGTCGATATGAAATACCAATCATTTTGATTTTCCCATGTTCATTACATATAAATATTAGACAAATAACACAGGCTTTTCAGTAACTTTCATCAGACTAGCCAAATAATATGACATTTTTAACCTCCGTTACGTTGTTTTGTAAATTTTGATTACATAAGGCCAAATTTAAGGCTGAGTTTATTATCATCAAAGAAATTTTGCTGAAATTTGAAATCATACTGTTTACCAGAAAAGTTTTGCCACAGTCTAACTGTCACCCTCTGCAATGAGGGAGAATATATCATGTCGGCAAATATTTGTAAACATCATATACCAGATATGGTAATTACATGTGAAGAGCGAAATAAGGACTTCGTTAATATGTAATTGGCGAACATTTGACTGGAAGGAAATATACAGTATACACAGTGTATGTATAATTTATCTAGACCATATATAGTTGTCCACTGATAGAAAGCCTGATCTTTTATTCAGGAACTTGTATATTGGCTTAAAGAAGCTAAGGCTCAGAAATGGGATATCCCTGGATGTATGAGGTATGTGTAGGTGTATGTAAACCTAATGGGGTTCCACTGGATCCAGCCGCCCAACATGTGCTCTAAGGAAAACACCACCATTTCATCTACATATTTCGGCTGTATAAAAAACCCACAAGAATTTGCCATTAATAATGGATTGAATTTTGATTTTATTTGTATTGCTAAACAATGGCTTTGCTTTTAATATCAATAGTATGTTGAATTATTTGTGTTTCTGCCATATATTGGTAGATTAAATTCCTATGAATTGATTAAATTTTTTATTAAGTATTTCTAAACGCTTTCTTCAGGTTGGCGAGTATGGATTGTGAAAAGATTCATGTAGCACGACCAATAACAAACACCACATATAAACACATTGGTTGTGCTACATGAATCTTTTCAAAATGGTTAATTGTTAAGTGCTTCTTGGAATGGAAAGACCTATATCTTTAATTATGTGTTGTGAAACTCCAAAGATAAAAATGTACTACATTTTTTCTTGCTGAGAAGAGTTTTAGTGATATCTATGATAGATTATTCTGATTAGATATTTTACAGTATTATTGTCAGTCATAAAGTTGATATTTTGTTTATGTGCTGTTCATTGGGTAAATTAATTGATTGACTGTTCATTTGGAAGATTAATCATACATTCTATGTACTGGGATATTTTTTGTTCCGTACACAATATAGGTCTTTGTTTTATGTACATTGCTATATTGTATCAAATGCCATTGATGGGAATATCAGCCATTATTTATAAATATCATCAAGAATGAACAAAATGCTTATCTGCTAAAATGTCCAGAAATTCTTGTTGATTAAATATAAATTTAATTATACGAATTTTGTTGTCAAGTTATTTTTTTCTTTTAATCAGGTCTTGTTTTGATGTAGCCAGCCTGTGTGTTCCTACTTTCATACTTTTAGATACAAGACGGTAGACTCAACTGGAGGATTTCCTATAGTCCAAAGGTTTGCCGTAACTTTGACAGTCACAAACATTTTTCTTAATAAACACACTTACTCATTATATAATTTGAAATTAACATGTAATTCAAAGGTTTAACATCCCTACTGTTTCGAAAGTGGTTTAGATCAATTTGGATTCCCGCCATTTTGGCCCATTTTATAACACCGATGAGGACTAGGACTAAATACCTGTATGGTGCAGTGTGATTCAGTTTTGGCGTAACCCAAATTTTAAAGGTGCATTTTTTTGCATGTCTTAGGTTGATCCTTCGATGTGGCCAATGACTTTCCATGTTCATTTGAAGTATTAACAAGAAAGATTCAAGTGTGTCAGAAATTATTTGGAAGAAACATGAAAAAAAAAGCCTGGGGCTCATGGAACTTACAGTATCCTCTTACTCCCTGAATACAAGTCATGATGTTTCTTGTTGAATTTGAGAAAGAATGTTAGTAGCCAGCGATCTGAGATAGTGAACGCGTGATTTAATCCATCCCAGAAGGTTGAGCGTGATGACATCCGTAAACATCTACGGTGTAGATTGGAGCCCCTCTGGTATAAAACCCAGTCTAAATAGCTCATTACTGAACAAGACGCATTTATCTACAAAATACTGAATGATAATTGAAACTTGCATTGGATTATCGAATCAACTGTGATAAATACGTTACCTTAACGAACAGGAGAGACTGAAACGTAACGATCCTAAAATTGAAGTCGTCACATTTATCATCGAGTTTGGTATGGAATTTTTAAGTCACCTGAGAAAAAGTCTCAAGTGACCTATTGCGATCGCCTTTTGTCTGTCGTCGTCCGTCGTTCGTCGTCCGTCGTGCGTCCGTAAACAATTTACATTTTCGACTTCTTCTCCAAAACCCCGGAACCAATTTCACTGAAATTTTGAAGAAACCTTCCATGGCCAAAGGTCAATTAAATTTGTGAATTATATGGTCCCCAGCCCCTAGGGGCCTGAGGGGCGGGGCCAAAAAGGGTCAAATTGACTGAAATTTCAAAAATCTTCTTCTCAAGATCCAGATATGGTAGAATCAAATACTCTTCATAGATGTAAGGGTCTTAAGGTGCTTTACTAAAATTGTGAATTTCTTGACCCTGGGGTCTCACGTTTTCCCCTGGAGTGGGGGTAAACTTTACTATAGTTTATATACGGAAATCTCATTTTGGACTAACATTTGTTTAATTGCCATTGGAAGTAATTCAATTTGGGTTAGCATTATCATTATTGGATAGCAGTTTGATGGTATGCACATATCAGCCCTGACTGACCCCCCGGGGCTGATGGGTGGGGCCAAAAAGGGTTGAATTGACTGAAATTTCAAAAGTCTTCTCCTCAAGACCGAGATATGGTAGAATCAAATACTCTTTATAGATGGAAGGGTCTTATAAGATGCTTTACCAAGTTTGTGAATTTCATGACCCTGGGGTCTCACGTTTCCTCCTGGGGAGGGGGTAAACTTTACTGTAGTTTATATAGGGAAATCACATTTTGGACTAACATTTGTTTAATTGCCATTGGAAGTAATTTAATTTGGGTTAACATTATCAGTATTTGATAGCAGTTTGATGGTATGCACATATCAGCCCTTACTGACCCACAGGGGCTGATGGGTGGAGCAAAAAAGGGTTGAATTGACTGAAATTTCAAAAGGTTTTTAGGTGCTCTACCAAAATTGTGAATTTTATGACCCTAGGGTCTCACGTTTACCCCTGGGGAAGAAGGGGGGGGGGTCAAAAATTGTTATGGTTTATAATGGCAAATGATACTTTGAATATTACATGTTGATAACTTGATTGGAATTATAACCCTAAGTTGACAGTTTGATACTTTGAAAATTTTGGGCCATCCCTACCCCCAAGGGTTGTAGGGTGGGCCCAGCCCAATGGAGCCCGTGTGTTTAAATAAAATTTCTTCATTTTCCTTGTTTAGAATCAGAGGTGCTAGTTTCAAATACTTTTCAGTCTTAAATCTACATGCTAGATATTGAATAAGGTGGTTTTATTGTTTTTTTGTCACTTTGAATACCATTTCTGTTCATGCTAAAAACAAAAATCAACTCTCTGTATACATATATCAGGTAACCGTTAAGGCCCATGGCTCTCTTGTTCATTATAAATAAATGTCTTTGTCAAGATGTGATGCTGTTAACACTGTCAAACATGGCTAGACGCCTAGAAACCCAGAAATGTCACCAGACATGTTGTCACTCATCATCAGAGATACAAATGTACCAACGTCAAAAGTTTTGCTACACAATATCACGTGTGGTCAGAGATATTAACCTAATTAAGCTCAGACCTGTGCGAGGTCAATGATATTCGCATGAAATTTGTGACCAGACCTACTACCACTTGTGACTCGAAATACTACACAGTGTAGGCATTAAACCGCACTCCAGTGCTGCCACTTAGAGCTATGAGATCGTGTGACGTTCCCTGGATTTGACCTATATTTACAGGGCGGATGCATTCAGTGAAGCGTAAGACGCTTAGCCTTCTGGAGCACCCGCCTTTTTTTCAATGATCTCAGTGTAAAAAAAATAAGGTGAATTAAAACAAAATAACCAACAGTATTTTTTGTCTATTTAGTCAACGAAAATACCCTTGCCCAATTGTGCTACAGTTGTATATGTCTAGCGTTTGGTATGGAAGCTTCCATTATAAAAAAAATGTCATTTTCAAGATGTAATGCTGTTGGAGAGGAGCACCACAATGCTGTGTTTTAATGTTTGTTTTTTTAGGAGAAATGAGATAGATTTCGATTTTTACCTACCAAGAACTAACAATATCGTATTGTAAACCTTTGTTGCGTATATGAACATTAATGGAAGCATATGCTTAGCGGTGTTGATGCTGTGTGCGAATGCAAAATCAATAAGTAATTACCCTTTGTATTCAAGAATCCTTTCAGTGTCAATAACAATACAATAAAGCACCGACTGGCTGAAACTGAGTAAGTCTCCACTGAAACACTAATACG